AGCTGCAAATTTTATTCTCCTCAGCAAGGCTTATAAAGCATGGGAGGCGGCAGGAAGGAGGGAAGGGGTGCACGACTTTGACGTGCTGGACGTGCAGGTGAAGGGGGACGTGCAAGTCGTGCAAGTCGTGAGGCTGCTGGGTGGTAAGGTCACTGGTCAGGGCCCATTGTCCTGTTGCTATGCTACCTGACCTGCCTGACCTGTTCTTTATCTTTGGGGGCATCTGGCTTAGGGCAGGGGCTTGTTCTCTGGCCTAGCTAGTACTTTTCCATGGTCCATGTTTGGTCCCTGACATCTCCCCCTTCTATACGTATAGCAAAACAAAGAAAGGAGGCCCAAATGTTTTTGCCGTGACAGGAGAGGGGTGACAGAGGCTCTATCCCTGATAAGTTCCATTGTTAACCGTCGGTCCATGTAGGCGTCCCCACATGTCCCGAAGGAAGCTGGAACGATGCAGTTTTTTACACGGGGCGGGTTTGAATCTGGGAGGAAAGGGTATAGGGTCTGCATAACCGCCATGCAATAGAGCATGTCATCCAAGGCCCCCAGGGTGGTGGAGCACTTGAGTCCCCCTGCCTTCTGCAGTCCTGGCTGCACCCTCAATTCCCTGTGCAGTGGGCTCCAGCTCCCAGGCACAGGTGCATCCTCCCCTGAGCAGAGGGGCCTGTGCTGATACGGAGTCTTTATCTAGTTCTTCGAGACCATGATCATGGAGGTCGAGGCGATGGTAATGAACCTGAATTTGTTTTGCCTGAAGTTCGGCCAGCTGACCGCGCACAAATCGAGTTAGTCGAGACAAGGCCCAAGGGCCGAATGTCAAGACAAGAATGAGACCAACCAAGGGTCCCAGAAGGGTGGTTAGCCAGGGAGATGCAGAGAACCAATTTTGGAACCAGCCTAGCTCTTGATCTTTTTTTTTTTTTTTTGCGCTTCTCTAAGCCTTCGCGGACCTCAGCCATGCTATCCCTTGCTACTCCTGTGTGATCAGTATAAAAGCAGCACTCTTCCTTAAGAGCGGCACACAGACCTCCTTGTTGTAAAAAGAGGAGGTGGAACCCTCGGCGGTTTTGGAGGACCGCCTCTGAAAGGGAGGTGAGGGAGGATTCAAGGGCGGAAATGCCTTGCTCAAGCTGCGCTATATCCTCATCTATGGAAATTCTAAGCTCTGAATAATGTTGATTAGATAAAACCAGGGAAGCTATGCCCGTACGGGTCCCTGTGGCCCCAACCCCCAGGAGGACAGCCAGAGTGACTGCAGTCACGGTTGGGGCATCCTACGCTTTCCTCCCTCCAATACATTTTGCAATTGTGGGCAGTCTGACCCTACCCCCAGAGAAGAAAAAGAAAATTTGTAAGTGGGAGATATGAACTGTAGTCAGGTTGTACTCCTCCCAGTCCTTCTTGGCTTGTGGGCGTTGGCAAAAGTCGATCGCACGCCATCACCTATGGCGTGATCTCCTGACTCTTATAAGAACCTTCCTAATAGACAAAATCTTAGACATGTTCACAATATAACAGTGGTGAACTTTATCAGAGCAAAATTATGAGTCCTTGGAGCCTCAACAAAACATCAGGATAGCCAGAGAATGAAATCTGAAATGTGTCATTTATATATCTCTCAAGTCTCATATATATTTTGACAAAAATTAATAAAATACATTTAGAACAGAATTATTAGTTCTAATCATATTTCTATAAGTTTTGATGAACAGTTCATCAAAAGGATCTGGAATTGTATCAATTTATTTATATTCAAGGCTCAATATTTAAGAATCTAGAGGTACATATCAGCCTGTATTCAGACTGGCAGCTTTAGAGTGCCTTTGTCCTGCAGCTGCCAATATATGGTGTGACCAGGCGATCCAGGATTCATAAAGGCGGGTCAATGTCCTATAAAGACATGTATCCTCCTCCTGACATTATAAAAACATCAGGACCTTTTTAAATACCAGTGAGGGGATCATAGAGGCTTAGGTGTAACTTTGTGACTTGGCCTGGTGGTGATGAGGAATACCTACAGTGGGTGATATGAAAAATCAAGCACCAATTCTTAAGAGCTCTTGAAGTATATGTAAGGCTGTTGTCTATATATGAGCTCAAGGCATTACTAAAATTAAAAAGCAGTGAAAGAAATGGTGTATTATTTTTTATTTCATAACCATAAATCATAAGGACATAAGCCTCGTGAGTAAACTTCCATAGGGAGAGAATTTATAATTGCTGGACAGACATATAAAAAGGTGTCAGTATATCCTGTTGAGCTATTTGCCATTCTATAGACTCACAAATTTCATAGTTTGATATAAATATAATATCATCTGTACAATAAATGTATTGTAAGATATATGTATATACATATACATGTATACGTACATATAGGTTGGGGGACTGTGAGGAAGCTATAATTGACAGTTTTGATAGTTGATCTGTATATATAATGAGAAACTTTGCTCAATGAATGAGTCCTGGATAAACAGAACTTGCATTTCCTGCTCTGTATGTCAGCTTTGGCCTCCATCATGGCAGGGTGAGTAGGCAAGTTAAAAGCAAAATGCTGATAATCTTTAGGTTGAGGAGGTATGGTAAAGAAGCAATCTTGTATATCTGCTGTGGGACAGTCTGTATGTCAAATTGCTCTGATTGGTCAATAAATAAAACACTGATTGGCCAGTGGCCAGGCAGGAAGTAGGTGGGACAAGGAGAGAGGAGAATT